ATGTAGAGGTTCGTATCGGCAATAATTTCTGCAATGTCACCTCGCTCTCCCGACAACAGTTGACTTGCCGTCCGCCGGAAACTCAACCGCCCGGTCACGGCGAGAACGGAGAAGTAAATGGCGAAGTCCTCCCCGAGGTGGTTGTCATTGTTGGCGGATCGTTGAAGTTCAATATTGGGAGTTTGTCCTATTCATCACCGCAAGGCATCAACGCTTCGTTTTCGAAACCAGTCGTCTACTTTGTTTGTGTGGTAGCCGTGGTGATTGTCATTGTCTTTGTGGTCTTCCTCATTGCGTACAGACGCAAATCGACTGAAAACAATCGCGTGCTCAAGAACATGCAGGAACAGATGGATATTCTCGAACTGCGTGTGGCGGCCGAGTGTAAGGAGGCGTTCGCTGAGTTACAAACTGAGATGACGGATCTGACTGGCGATCTCACCTCGGGTGGTATACCGTTCTTGGACTATCGCACTTATGCAATGAAAATACTCTTCCCGAACGTGGACGATCACGCTGTACTACAATGGGATCGGCCGGAATTACTCCGCAAAGATAAAGGCCTGCGTCTGTTCGGTCAGCTTATCATGAACAAGACGTTCTTGCTGTTGTTTATCCGCACACTGGAGAGTAATCGCTACTTCTCGATGCGCGATCGCGTCAACGTCGCCAGTCTGATTATGGTCACACTGCAGAGCAAAATGGAGTACTGCACGGATATTTTGAAGACTCTGCTTGCGGATTTGATTGAGAAGTGTATGGAGGGTAAGAGTCATCCGAAGCTGTTGCTGCGGCGGACTGAGAGTGTTGCCGAAAAGATGCTCAGCGCATGGTTCACATTCCTGCTGTACAAGTTTCTGCGCGAGTGCGCGGGCGAGCCACTGTTTATGCTCTTCAGAGCTATGAAGCAGCAGGTCGATAAGGGCCCAGTGGACTCGATCACCTCCGAGGCGAGGTATTCTCTCAGCGAGGAGAAGTTGATAAGACAATCCATAGATTTTAAACCAATGGTAAGCATATACCATAAAATTTGTTAATAAATTAGTTACTTATTTGTTTATTTGCAGACAATTTACGTTTCTATATCTCAACAAACCAATTTCGTTGGTGGATTGGATCACAACACCGAAAATGTTCCTGTAAAAGTATTAGATTGTGATACGATTAGCCAAGTAAAAGAAAAATCCTTAGATAGTATCTACAGGGCGACCCCTAGTTCGCAACGACCACGCAAGGAAGACCTAGATTTGGGTGAGTAACAAATAATTATATTCATAGCGGTGTTAAAATATGAAAAATTTTGTTTCTTTAAAGAATGGAGAACGGGTACGTCCGGCAGACTAATTTTATACGACGAAGACACAACGACAAAGACCGAAGGTAACTGGAAGCGACGCAATACTCTGCAACACTACCGCGTGCAGGACGGCGCCGGTTTGAATCTGGTGTCGAAGCAGAGCTCAATTTACAATCTGAGCATCTTTTCCGAGAAGAACGACAAGTCGCACAAGTACGAGACGCTCAATCTGAGCAAATTCAGCTCGGCAAGCCCACCAATGAGCCGCGCTACCAGTCCGCTCAACACCGACCATGACCAGGATGTGCGTTGCTGGCATCTTGTGAAGCACCACGATGCCGACGCGCAGCGTGAGGGCGAGCGTGGCAATAAAATGGTGTCGGAGATTTACCTCACGCGTCTGCTGGCCACCAAAGGTACGATGCAGAAGTTCGTCGACGACTTGTTCGAGACGATATTCAGCACGGCGCATCGCGGTTCAGCGTTACCACTCGCCATCAAGTACATGTTCGACTTCCTGGACGACCAGGCCATTCAACATGGCATCTCCGATCCGGAGGTCGTGCACACGTGGAAGAGCAATTCGCTGCCACTGCGTTTCTGGGTGAATCTGATCAAGAATCCCAACTTTGTCTTCGACATTCACAAGTCGAACATTGTCGACTCGTGTCTGAGCGTTGTCGCGCAGACGTTTATGGATTCGTGTTCCACGTCCGATCATCGATTGGGTAAATTTATTTTATTTTAGCATTTTGAGCGGGTTTTTAATTTGAATTTACATTTCAGGCAAAGATTCCCCTAGTTCTAAGTTATTGTACGCTAAAGACATTCCGCAATACAAGGAATGGGTGGAGAGATACTATTCTGACATTAAATTAATGCCGGCCATCTCGGATCAGGACATGAACGCCATGCTTGCCGAGGAGTCGCGGGTAAGTCATCATTGCTCCAATTTTTCAATCATCATCTATTTGCTTGTTGTGCGCTAATTGTAAATCGCTTGTTTCTTTCCTCGGCGCAGCTTCACACCACCGAGTTCAATACGAACTGCGCTTTGCATGAGCTGTACAATTACGCAGTCAAGTACAACGAACAGCTGACGGTGACGCTGGAGGAGGACGAGTTCTCGCAGAAGCAGCGGCTGGCGATCAAGCTCGAGCAGGTGCAGCACTTCATGGGTGAGACGCAGCCGTGATATTGGCCCGACCTGACGCGGCCCTCGGCACCGCCCTTCTCGCCGATGCAGCCGTCGGCACCGCAGGAGCTGGCCTGCTGAGCGGCGTGGCCGCAGTCAGAGTACGAGCGCGAGGTGTTAGCTAGACCACATAAGCCCCATACATATCTCCCCCTCACACCCAGCAGCCCCCGCCCCCCAAAATGCGAACTTTGAGAACAACTGTGTGTGTTCTGTATGTATGTTGTTGGATTGCCGTTTTAGTCGTTCGGTGTCTGGAGCGGTGCGCACTCAGTGACTTCAAGTGCCTCTGGTAGGAATGAGTGAACCGTGCTGTCTCTCCCTTCGTTCTCTCTCTCTCTCTATCTATCTATCTCTATCTCTCTCTCTCTAACACACCAAAAAACACACCCTTCTACCCCAAATCCAAAGTAGTATCGGAAGTTGCGGAAGCTGTAGGACGTAAGAAATTCGTGTACGATATTTTTATGATCCCCCGCCACCAACCAACCAACCAATCTGCTGAGAGAAGAGACTGCGCTTGCTGTCTTCGCGCCTGTCCTATAAGAATTCCTGAGCGTTTAGCCCGTACGTAAATGTAAGTAAGCAACAAAGTAATAACAGTACATGCACATACATCGTCAATTAACGCTTTGGCATCAACTCGAGACATCTCGGCTTCAAACCATCATCTAGTTGGAACTCGGACGGAAAGGTGTATGCGCATGCGAGTAATTTGCCTCCCCCACAACGTATCATCACTATCATCGTAAGAAACAAAACACAAACAAACAAACAAACCTAAGTCTAATTAATCTTAAAACAAGAGAATGCTTTTTTAAAATGATTGTATAATGAATCTATCTTATATTTATCTCCTTGTACAGGTATAATATTTTTATAATTTGTTTATCGCAATCATGAATCATGATATGATTGTCTTCCGGCGCTTCGGCGCGCGCGAAGGAAGCCAGCAGGGTGTATGGTAGCGCGTTTATTTGCGACGTTTCAATCATCGGTGTGTTCGAAATTTGTATCGCCAACCATTTATGTTTCGTGTGCCGTGGTCTGTGTACGTGTCGAAGGCTGTGCATTTCTGTTTATTGTCCAGCCACAGCCAAAGAATCACTCTTCCTCTTCTTCTTCATTCACAAGTCTGTCGCTCTTCTAAATCTCCGTATCATCTCTTGCTCTCTGCCTTCTCTGCCTCTCTTCGACCACACCTGAAAAGCACAACCCTCTCGAAGTTCTTGCTTCGGGCGAGTATCAACCAGAACGCAACGTTTTGAGGCTGTAATTTTATAATTTTAGATGTTTTACTACTCGCTGAACAAAAATGAGAAACAAACGAACCAAACTCGAGGATTCTGTACATAATACAACATGATAGGCGTGATGATATGATATGATGATGATGATGATTTATACGTTTTTATATTATATAATATGATTGTCGTTTTATCAGTTGAATGTGCGTAAAGAAAGCAAAAAAAAAAAAGCATTATGTAATCGAATACGAATTGTAACCGTCCTTGCCGATGATGACGATTAATTGTCACTGTCAATGTCTGTCTTGGTCTGCATTTCGTTGCTAGAGTTCCTCCCCTCGATAAGAGGAGAATCCTCGACTTTGTAATAATTTTCATTTTGTAAAACCGCGCGAGCGCGCGCCTGTAACGCCAGTGTGATTCATAGCTTTTTTTACCGAAGAGTACGCAATTCGAGTGTGTGTATGTGATGAGTGTGTTTGTTTCGAGCGCAACATTCGCACGCGCAGTCAGTCACAAAGCAAAGTAACAAGAATTGAAGAAACGAAGAAAACAAATTGTAATCATTAAGTGTAATATGTATCAGCAGACTTTATATATTGTTTGTTATGTACTTTTTAACTGTATATGTATGTATGTATTCGTCGACAAATCATCGAATGAATTTATATTATTATTTTGCACTGGCTACACAGTCACATAATTTGTAAATATTAGGTGTGCATGCACAGTGTATCCATAGTGTACTGTGTGTATACTCGATTGCATTTCGCAATAATATGAATGGTAATAATGTAAAACTCTATGTTATTATAAAAGACTGAATGGAGTTATTTCAAATACTAAATAGAAAAATCTATAAAACTGCGCTTTATTTCATTTTCATTCGGTGAGTCATCATTCAACGATGTTTAGCCGCAGTTAAATACACATAGTTTTGCGCGATTTTAAAAGTTGAAGTTGCGTTTGTTCGTTTGGTTGCCTATAACAAAAGACTACAAGCAAATTTCAAGGATTTTATCTATCACATTCTCTTTTTGCCTTATCTACACAACATCCGATAGCATCCAAAAAAATAAACAAACAAAATCAATTCAATTTTAAATCAACATGCAAAACGTAAAACTGACTGTGAATTAAATAAATGTGCGGATAATTTCTTATAAATTATTTTCTTTGTGGAAATATATTTAGGTATATGATCCATTTCCCCACTACTAAGATATCTAGCGCACAGGATAATAATTTTCATTCGCACATAGTCATTCACCTACTGCAATCATTCTTGTGCGGATGGCGTATCGCGATCGCCCTGTGAAAATCTCCCATTCTAATTCTCTACATCGCTGCACATCGCGCACACACCACACACGTAAACATGACAATGAGTAACAGCAGGTAATTGTTGTTGATCGGCCGTCGCTTGCTAGTGTAGTCAGCCACTGCGCGCAATATAAACGATAAATTCGATTACGGTAGGACGAGGGCAGTGCTAATTCCATTCGTTTCCCAAGTAACCGTGCACGGTTGTAATCATTTTAATATCAGCTCAGTGCGTCGTCTTTTGTTCGGCTTGCAGTACGCGCGCGAACATCGTCTGCACAAAAGCGTCTTGCATTACTATGGATTGCCAAACATAGGTGAAGGTGAAGTACTCGTTTGCATCACACGGTCAGTAAATGGTAAATAAATTAAGTGCCAACGTCGCGGGGTGATCGCGCGACTTTCCAACGCATTTTCAGTGAAAAGCGCTCGTTATTTACATGGCGTCATGATACTGTTTTGGTACACACATTGGTTCTGGATAACAATCTTCATTGTTTACACCTCAGGTGAGCCTCTCGAGTTTCAACAATGTCGCAATTTTCTTCATGAGCGAGCGTTTCAATGTCTAAGCACACGCCTTGTAATTAGGCTAGATTTGTGCATTTTTCATGTTTTTGTTGCTCACTAAATAATTATGTGAGTTTTTGTTTCGATTGTTCATTTCGATTGTTATTAATACAAACAAAGATTTGTCATCATCAACCTTAACAATGGTTTAATTTTTACATGCTTTGCATGTTTAAACAGATGTGCAAACTTTGGAGAGTGATGTTGAATCATCAACGCAACATTCCACAAGCAATGCCACAATCATTGTGGTGCAAAATGTATCCAACTCGACGAAAAGCCCTCCGCCGGCGGCGATTGTTGAGCCTGCAACTCTGCCACCCTCGAATGCAAACATCACCAACGCGAGCGTCATGTTGCTTCCCGCAGGCGAGAACGCGACGAATGCGACATCGTCTGTGATAGAGACACTCGTAACCAGCGCGAGTAGCACGTTTAATGCTACCGAGGAGGAGACGTTGTCCACGTTGGAGACGGCGTACAAAGAGGCTGACAACGAATCCATGACAGCATTTGATCGTTCAGCTCCTGCTGCTGATAGCGGCCGATTATCCGCCGCTGGTATCACCGGTATCACTTTGGGTTGTGTGATGCTAGTCGCGCTTGTCTGCGGTGCCAGCTACGTTTGGTACCGGAATCGCGGTTTCAATCGGCCGCAAGTACTCACCGACCGCAGCAGTAATCTCGACTCCAGCGGTTACATCGACGACACATCAGTGAGGGTATAATCGCCTTTGGACACCGAATAAAAGCATGACTAATCTTTCCTATCTTTTCAGGACAACTCCGAGGAGATGTACAGTCTTGACAACGATTCATTCCTCAACAGTCTGGAGGCCATGACTATTCAGAATTATTGGACGGACACCGTCAAACACACCAAGCTTTAATTGCCAGTTTTTAATTAATTAACTGGCCGGGTAACGGAATATTTATTTATTTATGCGTCGCGCTTTATTATTTGTTGTTTTGTTTGAAAGTTTTCATATTAATCGTCTAAAATGTACACAAACCGATCATATCCTATTTATTTCTATGTATGAATCATATGAATCAGTGATCATAATCATTTTTAAGTATGTAGGGCAACTTAAAACGGTAAAAGCGATAGCGCGAGGTGTCATCATAAATACATACTACTTATATTCATGACTAATGCGAAATGCGTTAAACGTTAAAAATTGAAAGTCAAGGCGCAAGCAATAAATGCGCATTCATTTGCATGCTATACATTTTATACAATTCCGACTTGTGGGCAAAAAATTAATATTCGGTGAAACTTAATGATTTCCCTTCAATTAAATAAGTATTCTTAGCAACTGTGATGCATATCGTTACATATATTTTACGTACTCGTGAATGTCTATATTTTTAATGCGGGCGACTTTGCACACGTTATATTCTTGGCACGCCACGAACAAAACAACAACCATAAACGAGCATAACAAGCAATCAACACTGGAAGTCAAGTGCGAATAACGAGCATAATTATTTTCTATTCACTGTTTGACGGTTTTTCGTTTTTAATTGCGTTATGCAAACGTATCCGTATTCCAGTACAGTACTTTGAACAAAGCATTTTTTTGTTATTATTTTGTTTACATATTTTATTTTTTAATTGTACAGTGATTCTATTAGGTAATTGTATCTATGCAAAAGTACAAAAGTAAATTGTACATACGTATGCGTAAATGAATCAAAGCCACACATCACTTATTAACGTATTGAGATTTGCAAACGGCACGATGATTAATATACTCGGTACCTTTGTTTAAGTTTTGGCAATTGTAAGGTTGTTTTATTATAATGTCTAATTTCTAAGGTATTTGCGTCCCAGTTATTACTACATTAGTTATAAATGCACCAAACTAGACTTGATTACTACTTAATTTAGCGCTTGGTTAGTTTAGTTTAATTCGAACGGTCGATTGGCTTTTGCCTTCTGTCCATTAGTCAGGAAACTATCCGTACTTTTAACGATATTATTTTTCTATTCACAATTGTAAGATAATTCCATTTTGAAGACGATGAAGTTGCGTATAACGAAGTTGTGTATTGTTTTAATGACTGAATGTGTTCGCTGAAGAGTTGTGATGACTTGAAGAGATTTTTGTAATTACTTGTATATTAAAGTTAAAAACGTATTAGTGCAATAATAGGTAAATGTAGCAAAATATTCACGATATCAGTAATAATGTGCGGACACATATTACAATAGTGGCCGGAAAGTATTTGTAACTATTAATAATGTACTTTAATTGATGAATGTGTATTATGAACGTACTTTGTAAATACTTTTCAAATATTTTCCTTTATGTTAAAATACAATAGTTTTATAATGAATGTAGGTGTTTTGTTTTGAATCGCACAGCATTGACCTCTGATATCGCTGCGGTCAATACCTCGCGCCATCGGTTTAGAGTGCACATGCATAGATAACGCAGGTATACGTTGTTGTGTTTAGTCGAGCTGGTTCTTCTCGTCGGGTCGGTCGCGAAAATATAATTCGATAATTTGCATTGCATTTAATTGGAATGCAACGTAATTTGTGCTTATTGTGTTTCGCTCTGGGGCGTTTGTAAAACGTTTATTAAGTGTCACTTGTTAGTGATGTGCCGTCGGCGATACGTTAACTTCCGCAGCTGCCTGTGTGAGACCGCGTGGCTCATCACCTTCTTTTGGTTTTCATCCGATAAATTGGATTATATTATAATGGAATAAGTACGTATGAAGTTTTTATGGATTTTGACGACCCATATTTTGTTTCCGTCTATTTTTAAAGAAGGTAAGATTTCAAGTGTTAATCACTCGTATTTAGAGCACCGTATACACCGTTTTTCATCTCGTCGATTTTCAATCTAAGTAGCTTATTTTATAGAGAATTTTCCGTGGACTAAGAATCTGCGATTCGTTCATTTTAATCTTTACTCCGTCTTGTTCTATCGAATTAAATATCACAAAAATAATTTGTGTAAAATGGGGCAGTCTTTCAATATAAGAAATCTGAATTACATAATTCGGATTTTAAATTTTTATTAATTTTTTTAATCCAAATTCCGGGACTACTATTTGCATTATTTATAGATGGCACTAGCACAGGGGCGTAGCTACCGCCGTATTTGCCGTATCAATTATACGGGGCCCCCAGCCACTGGGGCCCCCAAAGTGTGTAAGCAAAAACTTTTACCTCCATATAAGGGCCTCCAAAAAATTTTTATACGGGGCCCCGACAAGGCACGCTACGCCGCTGCACTAGCATTAACAAAAATTGTAAAATAGACATGTATTGTTTATTTCTGTAGCTATCAGCAAGCGCGAGCATTCGACACGAGAATTGTATTTGTTTTGAACACAACTTACACTTTCTTATCGCATTCGTCGCGTGGAATGCAACGCATGAGATCCCCTCACGCCGAATGTTGGCGCATTTTAGTTTAGTTTTGATCGCTGGTAACGCGCCAAAGCGATTCCCGCACAAGGTCACGTGCCATCGACGCACTGGCTATGCGCATCTCTTGTTTTCTTATCATAAACTGTCACGTCGTTGCTTGCACAGTTTGCAGCCAGTTTCGTGCCGGTATCTGGTTGATCCAATATTTTACGCGACTCGTATTCTTTGTCCGGCCATCTACTTTCCAAATTCGCAGTATATTCGATCATCAATCGACTATTTAATTTCGTCTATAGTAATGCTATTTACTGTTTGCGCGTTTATTGTCCATAAATGCCGGTTATACATTTATATACGCCTTCATGTTGATTTGATATTCATCATTAGGATGACCCATCGTGCTGATGTAAATAATTTTAACAAAACAGCATAGATTGTTTGTTTTTCTCCACTGTGTGATTATAATATTACTAAGTCATATGAAATATTTTTGTTTTAACTTATGTTTTCTTTTTTTTATTTACAGTATTTGCCGTGCCTTGGAGTCCATGAGTTGGGCATTGGTAAGTTTATAATTAAATTATATTTTTCATATTAATTTCTGCGTCCTCCATCAAATTGTATTTTCGTTGTTTTGATTTATCGCGTTCCAGTGCGTGTTGCAAATAGATGAGATAGTCGCGCACTCGGCTGATACATCTCAAAATTAACTGTTTCGCTCGCTAAAGCGCAAGAGTTGAACTTGAAGATGCAATACAGCGGAATTTCGCCTTAACCATCCCTATCCCATTTTTGTCTCGTTTTTTTAAGTCGAATTATTACGGATTGAAGATTCTAATCTTTGGAAAATTTTCTATAAGATAAGGTATTCAAATTGGGAAAATAAGAGAGGTCGAGAATAATTCTTAAATAAGAATTTGCTATGGACAATTCTTGTTTCATCTCACTGAGAGGTTCTTCATTTTCATTTTAGGAGAATTTTGAAAATTGGTTTCTTTTTATTTACAGTATAATTCATTGATAGGACTAGCATCAACCAAACATTGCTCAAATTTATCAAACGTTTGTGTATAACAACAATTTTGTGTCGCGTTGCCATCTGCTCATATTGCATACAGTATATTTCAGTTTAGTTTTGATCGCATATACCTCACGGAATAAAATTATTTTCAATTTTACCTGATAGAGAATTTTTCAATCTTTCATATTCTTTGATCCGTTGGTCGCTTGCGATTTTAGTTTAAAAGAGGGCAGCGGTAGAAGCGACTTATATTTAGGGCACCGTACGAGGGTAGCGGTTGAAGTGACTCGTGTTCAGGACACCCTACAAAGGTAGCGGTACAAGTGACTCGTGTTCAGGGTATCGTACGAGGGTAGCGGTAGAAGTGACTCGTGTTCAGGGCATCGTACGAGGGTAGCGGTAAAAGTGACTCGGTTCAGGGCATCGTACGAGAGCAGCGGTAGAAGTGACTCGTGTTCAGGGCACCGTATAAGGGTCGCGGTAGAAGTGACTCGGTTGAGAGCATCGTACGAGGGTAGTGGTTGAAGTAACTCATGTTCAGGGCACCGTATAAGGGTAGCGGTAGAAGTGACTCGTGTTCATAGCACCGTATAAGGGTAGCGGTAGAAGTGACTCATGTACAGGGCTCCGTACGAGGGTAGTGGTTGAAGTAACTCGTGTTCAGGGCATCGTACGAGGGCAGCGGTGAAAGTGACTCGTGTTCAGGGCACCGTATAAGGGTGGTGGTAGAAGTGACTCGTGTTCGCGTAATTATATTTCGATTTTTTTTCATTATTGCCGGCGGACAAGATCTTACACAAACTTGAGTGCGATATTGCAGATACAGAATTTAATTCTCTATAAGGCTATATTTATTTGTTGATGGAGATATGGTTGCACCGTTAGTAATTGCAAAAAGGTTATTTTTCAAGTGTTCTTGTGCCCTCGCGTTAATTTGTTGATATCTTTAAAAATTATTACTGCCGATTGGAAGCGTTTAGCGTGGCGTCTAGAGATGTGAAATTAAGTTATCCGTCGGGTGGTGTTTGTTTGTTGCAGGAATTCGACCTGCAACCCGCGAAAATTTACATAAAAGGGCGATTTTTGCAACTTTTTTCAATGTTAGTATTTTTTCGGGTTTGTACGCGACCTTGGTGGCTCAATAACTTCAGCGCGGTGTCAGAAGATACGGAATTATACTCTTCGTCGGGTTGTATTTATTTGTTGCCGGAATTCGACATGCAACACGCGAAAATTTGCATAGAAGGTGTTATTTTTCACCTTTTTCTTTAAATGTTAGTATATTTTTGGTTTTCACGCGACCTTGGCGACTCAATAACTTCAGCGCGGCGTCAAGATATGCGGAATTAAATTCGCCGTCGGGGTGTATTTATTTGTTGCATGAATTCGACAACAAAGACTATTATGACTATTGTAATTACAATAACTCTATTTACACTTGATTTATGTGTTGTCATCATCATCATCATCATGTCGTTTTAAAGACTTAACAGTCTGTGATTTGTGTTTGCTATTTGATAGATTAAATTTGAAATCATGCGTCATATAGATTTGACTTATTGCATTTTTATGTAAATTTGCTAGTTATTTAGAGAGGGCAATGCATGCGCACTTGCTTGTACGTGTCTCACATGTTCGCTGCTACGCACTTAACGTGACAACTCACTGCCTCATAGACAATTTCGCACTGACACACATGCGCGCCACACTGTTTGAAACACTTTGTTGTTTTGTGAGGTACTATAAGGTGTTCTCAGATGGCGTAACAATGTAGGTTTACCTGGAAATATTCCAGCGAGAGGATTTTGTTTTGTTCAAACGGTGCGATAACGACGAGCGCACATTCTACACTTTCGACTTGTGTTATTCTTTGATGTATGTTCGGTAAATCGTGTTATATTTACTGATAGCCGGTGATAATTAGTGTCCATAAACGTGTCTGATCTTTTATAAGCTATTTATCAGGTGTGTAATCTTCGTAATTGTAAATTTTGCGTGTTTAATTTATTGACGTGTGCGTGAGTCCGTTGCCGTCGGGCGATGGCCGATGAAAATATCAAAGCTATGAACGCTAATAATTAATTGACTTGTGAAAAACGTATTTGTCATCATCATGGGAGCATGGATGTGCTACCTGGTAAATATTGTTATTCCTATGATTATTATGCGAATGACAAGAATTTTAATTCAAAGTTTGAGTTCCGACGGAACTCAGATTCATTACAACATAGCACAAAATGCTGTAGCTTATGTTTTGTTTCACATTTATTTCAGTATTCGCCAACTTGCCGTCGATATACCGTCTTCCATAACCGGTATGTAAAATAATTTCATTATTTATAGTAACTGTTTGCCGTGTTAGTGTAGTGTACCTAGATTGCAATATTCCTCATTACCTCATCTTAGTAACATTTATATGTCACTTAAATATTTGATGATAAAACGATTAATCTTTCATCATAAGAATTTAAAACTACATAAATAGAATTTTAATTTATCATTATTCCACTTTCTTTAACGCCGTGCGAATAGCAACGTCCAAGATTGCCGAGTGTTGTCGCTGCCATCCTTTCGCGCCTCGCTCTGCTTTTCTAGTTTAGTTTAGTTCGCATGTATCGGGTCTATTGCAATTTGTGCGCGGGCAGTCGTCGCGGCCATCCTTGGGCCGGCTTTGCGCGTTCGGGCAGCAGGTAGTCTTATCATGAACTGTTGCGACCGTGTTTGCCTCGCTGAAGTACAGCATGCACTATTTTAAGACTTTGTCGTATAGAGAATTTTCAGTAGATTAATAATTTTCAATCCGTTGCCCTATGTTGTTTCCATTTATTAAAATAATAGAAAATGAAAATGTCCAATTTTACTTTTAAATACGGTTTCGAACGTGACGTTTTCTTATGAATTAAAATTTCATTTTCGAGATTTCCAATTAAA